GGCATCGTGCTCAGAAGGACTTCAGCCATTGCGCCGTCACATGACATGTTAGCTTATAAGCGAGGTATCCCGTACCCGTTTGCGTTACAGTTCATACGCATAAACCCATAGCAAAGGCTTGCAACATCGTCCCAAAGGATTGTGTGGGCTCTGAGTAGCACAGTAGATGCGAGCATGCTCCCGCCGACTTTCACAGGTAGCCCTTTGGCGACACGCCGCTGTTACCAATTCACTAAATACTGTTTACGGTACCAGGACAAACCATAGAGGAGCGCTAATCGCTGTTGCCGAGGTGGTCCTTGTTCAATGGCTGGTCAATAAATCGTTTGTTGCGAAATTAAGTTTGTTTGGCTTCCAGTTATTTTTACTGAATACAGATAACAAATATCTATTAGGTGCAATAAATAGTTTTGTCTAGATTGTATGTTTTGCCGTTACGGACACACGGACACACGGACACACGGACATGGCGGGGCGTGCCAGGGGGGGGCCGTCGCAACTTGGGTTGTGGGGTGTGGTGGGGTTTGGGGGGGTGTTGTTTCCCCATGCTGCATTCCCGTATATATATGCCTCCAACTTGCTCTCTATTGCGCACAGCGCCCCACCCAATCGCCCTGTCGCTTGCCACCTTTGTCCGACTCACCCTCTATCAAGCTACGCTCCACGCACGTGCCGTCAAAGATGCGGTACTAGCCCTCGCTCACATGCCGTACCTCCTACTACTCGGCTTCCCTCTCTTCTTTTGCAGTAAGCGAAGGTACCGCTTTTCATAGACATAGAAATAGTTATGCACTACTTCAAGCTGGCTTCCCCGTTTACTTTGCTTCGATTTACTGTCATAGCATCTTACGAGTTCCACCTTAGATGGCCAACTGGCTTCTGTTAGCGTCAGGATGTCAGGGTGTCTACATGAAGTGGCTGGTCATACTTCGTTGTATCCGTGTGCAAGTCAAGTCGACTCCTTGCTTGAAGTCGGGATGTAGTCGCAATCGCCTGCGGTGCTCTTTAGCGAGGGTCTCCTACAGGGCTCAGGCGCCACATGGCAAGTTCAAATGCTGCATTTTGGTGACGTGTTGTGGCCTTTCGCGATACGTATATGGTATATCAGTCAACCTAAGACAACGTTATCGTCCTGCTAACAGCTCATTTAATACATCATAAGTTCAGACATCATAAATGCTATGCAGAATAGCTTGGTTCAGACGTGGGTTAGTGGTTGTCGAAAGTTGCTTTGGCATCGCAGTATGCTCGGGTCCGTTTTGCCTTTCAATCGTCTGTACTTAAGCCCTGGCAGATATATGAGTGCGTACCGTTTTGTTTTCGCGGCAACCCGACACTGTCGCTGGAGTAAAAAGGCAAGTAATGACAATTGTCGTACTTAAAACGGACGTAGGATGTCCTTTTTTCGGAGGGCCTTGTTTGCCAACTTTAGATTATCGCGCCTTACTATTACCAGCTTTGCTAGTCCTTCTTTATCTATCTGCAAATCGGGCTGAACTGCATTCGTTAGTGGGCCTCCTTTGACAGGTGAAGGGCTGTGGAAATGTCAGGCCCACATCGTATCGCCCAGCATGCCACCCGTGTTGCTTGCTGCACACGTGCATTCAAGACGCCTTAAAGTGCACACGCTCACATGGCGGCCCTACCAGTAAAGCGGGGTGGCTTGCATGCGTGTGTGGGTTGCATGGGGCAAAGAGCGGGGCAAGTAAAGCAGGGGTGCGGGCATGCGTGTGTGGGTTGCATAGGCCGAGGGGGTGTGTACAGCGGGGTTGCTTGCATGCGTGTGTGCATGGGTTGCATGAGATAAGGGGGTGAGTAAAGCGGAGTTGCTTACATGCGTGGGTTGCACGGTGCTAGGGGGCGAGTAAAGTGGGGGTGCATGCATGCGTGCGTGGGTTGCATGGGCCAAGGGCGCGAGTAAAGCGGGAATGCATGCATGTCTGCGGGCGTGGGTTGCATGGGGCGAGGGAGTGCGTAAAGCTACGGGTGCTTGCATGCGTGCGAGTGTGGGTTGCATGGGGTGAGGGGGCAAGTAAAGCAGAGGTGTTTAAATGCGTGCCTGTGTGGGTTGCATGGGGCGAGGGGGTGAGTATTAGAGGGGGTGCATGCGTGCGTGCACGGGTTGCATGAGGCAAGGGGGCGAGTAAAGCGGGGGTGCGTGTATGAGTTGCATGGGGCGAGTGAGCGGGAATGCATGCATGTCTGCGGGCGTGGGTTGCGTGGAGTGAGGGGGCGCGTAAAGCTATGCTGCTTCCATGCGTTCGAGTGTGGATTACGTTGGGCAGGAGGGCGCGTAGTGTGGGGGTGCTTGCATGCGTGCGTGGGTTGCATGGGCCAAGGGCGCGAGTAGAGCGGGAATGCATGCATGTCTGCTGGCGTGGGTTGCATGGGGGAGAGGGCGCGTAAAACTACGGGTGCTTGCATGCGTGCGAGTGTGGTTTGCATGTAGCGAGGGGGCGGAGATGCTTGCATGCGTTCATATGTGGGTTGCATTGGGCGAGGGGGCGAGTAAAGCGGGGGTGTGTGCATGCGTGCTGCGCGGGTTGCACGGGGCAAGGGGGCGAGTAAAGCAGGGGTGCGTGCATGCGTGCACGCGTGGGTTTCATTGCGCTAGGGGGCGAGTAAAGCGGGGGTGCGTGTGTGGGTTGCATGGGGCAAGGGGGCGAGTGAGCGGGAATGCATGCATGTCTGCGGGCGTGGGTTGCGTGGAGTGAGGGGGCGCGTAAAGCTATGGTGCTTGCATGCGTGTGAGTGTGGATTGCATTGGGCGGGCGGGCACATAAAGTGGGGGTGCGTGCATGCGTGAGTGGGTTGCATGGGCCAAGGGTGCGAGTAAAGCGGGGTGCGTGCATGTGTGTATGGATTGCATGGGCCGAGTGGGTGAGTAAAAGCGGAAGTGCTTGCATACGCGCGTGTATGGGTTGCATGGGGCGAGGGAGCGAGTAAAGCGGAGATGCTTGCATGCGTGCATATGTGTGTTGCACGGGGTGACGGGGCGTGTAAAGCGGGAGTGCTTGCATGCATGCGTGTGTGGGTTGCATGGGGCGAGAGGGCTTGTAAAGCATGGTTGCTTGCGTGTGTCGAGATAACTGGCCGCGAGGCGGAGCGTACTGCGATTGCCCGTGCGTGTGTTGCATGGGGCGAGGGGGCGAGTCAAGCGAGGGTGCGTGCATGCGTGAGTGTGTTGGTTGCATGGGGCAAGGCGGCGCGTAAAGCGGAAGTGCTTGCATGTGTGCGTTGGTTGCATGGGGCGAGGGGCGGGGCAAGTAAAGTGGGGGTGCGGGCATGCGTGTGTGGGTTGCATGGGGCGAGGGGGCTTGGGAAGCATGGTTGCTTGCATGTGTTAAGAAAACTGGCCGCGAGTAGGAGCGCACTGTGATTGTCGGAAGATGAAGTCCCCACAGAACCACCGCAGGAGCCTCGGAATATGGTAGCGTATGTAGATATATAAGTCCAGTACTGGTGCTGAGTAGGACGTAAGAAGCACTCTCGGAAAACGACCGGACCTAGGGCTTGCATGTGTTTGTGTGATGCACGGGGCGAGGGGACGAGTAAAGCGGGAGTGCTTGCATGCATGCGTGTGTGGGTTGCTTGGGTTGAGGAGGCCAGTTAAGTGGGGGTGCTGTCCCGCATGCAGCCCTTCTTCCACTGCCCCTCTTTTACTTGGGGCTCCTTGCGGCCCTCCTGCTTGCGGCTGTCTTCGTAATGGCCCTCCAGCACACAGCGCCCCTCCCACACGCCTATACACACGGCGTTCCTCCCACTCGCTTGTATGCGCACATTGCCCCACCCTATCGCCCTCCCGCACACAGTCTTTGTCCCACTCATCCATCATGCTACGCCCCTCCATCATGCTACGCTCCTCCCACTTACTGTCATGCACGTGACACGCCGTGGCCCTTCCACTCGCTCTCGCTCTTGCTACCACATGACGCACCTCTTACTCGGCTTCCCTCCCTTCTTTTGCAGTAAGAGGTGGTACCGCTATTCCTTCTCCTGACATAGCAATACTCGTGCACGGTTTCAAACTGGCTTCCCCGTTTATATCGCTTCGATTTACTATCGTAACGAGCCACTTCCACCTAAGACGGACAACCGGCTTCTGACACCGTCGTAATGTTAGGGTATGTGTGCTTGGATTGGTTGGACACATTTGTATCCGTGTGCAAGTCGGTTCCTTGCCTGAAGTCGGGCTAAAGCGCACTCGCCTGCGGTGCTCTCCAGCGTGGGCTTCCTACATTGCTCCGTCCTGCATTGCTCCGGCCAGATGTCGCTTTGAAATGTGGCGAAATGTGGTCGTTAACGGGGCCGTCTTTCCAAAGCCGCCTCTTTGGTGCTTTGAGTACCGTGTTTTGCGTTGTACATTGGTTGCCATTGGCGAGCCGTTTCGGCGACTTTTTCGCGCTAGAGACACACATCTTAGGGCTCCAACTTCGCGGTGCCTTTGCCTTGAAGCAGCATTTTCGGTGCGCTAGGTAACTTGTTAAGCACTGTACTTTTAGTTGCCTTGGCAAGACGAATGGGCGACTTTTTTGCGTTACGGACACGCATCTTAGGGCTCCAACTTCGCGGTGCCTTTGCCTCGAAGCAGCATTTTCGGTGCGCTAAGTAACGTGTTAAGCACTGTACATTTAGTGGCTTTGGCAAGACGAATGGGCGACTTTTTTGCGTTACGGACACGCATCTTAGGGCTCCAACTTCGCGGTGCCTTTGCCTCGAAGCCGCCTTTTCGGTGCGTTGAGTAACGTGTTAGGCACTGTACTTCTGGTGGCTTTGGCGGGCCGTTTGTGCTACTTTTATGCGTTACGGACACACCCCTTAGGGCTCCAGGGTGGGCGCCCTGACAGGCCCCTCCTCACCCAGCGCTCAAAACGCCGCCCGTGATGCATGTGGCGCTTGCGACCTTCAAATGGGTTCGGAAAACGCCACTTGGCGACGCGTTGCGCGGCCGAGTGGAGAGAAAACAGCCAAAAACAACCGGCAAAACTCATGTTTTGGGTGGGATTCGAACCCGGACCGCGACTTTTAGCGCTCAAAACGCCGCGTCCCTGTTAAGGCGCTTGCCAAAAAAATGTTACACGAAACCCCCCCTCCCTATTGATGCCTTTCCTTCGCTGCTTCGCTAGCTCCGGACTCCGTCTACGACGTCGGCCTCCGACGTCGCTACATTGCTCCGGCGACACACGGACAGGGGCAATCCTGGGGGGCGAAGCCCTCCCGAAGCCGCTTCGCGGCGGGGGCTCCGCCCAAAAATTGTCACCTCAAGCTCTTGGATACCTGGTGCCTAACCCCCCTGAGAACACTTCAAATACATGTGAGTAGGATTATTAGCTTGCCAAGACAGGCAAACCATTAAAGTGCTAAGCCCAGCATATTCACAATCACAAAGACGGTATCCTTTCATCACTCGCGGGCCTTCAGGAACAGACTAAAAAGGGCCCCCCAAAGAATGCGCAATAATACGTAAACAGCCTCCTATCTCAAATACACAGATTCGGGTGCAGGTCAGCCCCAGCAGCACCCTGACAGGGAACACCCAAGGCACCAGCAAAAACAGCAAGGCTGGCATCCAAACAGGGAACAACCAAAACACAGCAATTATGACAGAAGTCTGATCAGTGAATCCAGAAGAATCTCCTCAGCACCAGACCCACGCACGTAAGAAGCCCGCAAAACCCTCCGACCACCCTCATTGTATAGCAGACTCCTCTCCTCCTCGAAACGGGCCATATCTCCAACCCTCCTCCAAAGAGTCTAAGACAAAAGCAACCGAAACACAACGCTGCACACCTAAAAGTCCTAACACGAACTAAAAACTAAAAACTCCATAGCCATAGCGCTGGAAACGAGCGCGAAACATAACGGGAATTTCAGGAAATTGGATCCCATCAGCAGTTAAACTGCAGACAATTTCATGCGCCTAAAAGCTCTTTTCCCGCCTAGCCCTGTACGGCGGTGAACGAAGTGTAGCCACAAAGTTGTTCGAATCCCGTTCAGGAATTCATCAATAAGGACGCCTAAAAATTCCGGAATGAAGGCCTCTAGCAGCACAAGTGTACAGCACGCATTCCTAAATTAGCTTTCCAATTGCAGAGCCGTGGTCTCCCTAAATGGAAACACTGTCAACACAAGGAATCACTCCATCCAGCAGTGCACCTGACACCCCCAGACAGGGAGCCCGAAACCTGCCATTTGTGCCCCCATTTGTGCCGATACCCCAAATAAACCCGGCATCTGTGCCCCCAGTTGACACCTAGCCGGCGAATGTTTCGCACCAGTTGACAGAGGCATAAGACAATAAAACATCCCGGCTCACGTGACTAAACACCAGCAGCAAGCAAAACTCTGTCTGTCAATAATCTGAACCGTACGGTAGTTTGGAATACTCACATCAAGCTCTTGGATAGCAAAGCGTGGCAAATACTTTGGTACCTTAGTGATGAGCCCAACAAAGGTTTATTAAGAACTTGATCACGCGCATGACCTTCAGGAACACTTTCTCAAGGGCGAAACCAAAGGCCCAAAAGATTGCACAACAATACAAAGCAGTTTCCTATTTAATAATTCGCATATTCGGATACAAACAACAAACCCCTGACAGGGAACACATAAACTAGCAAGAACAGTGAAGCTGGCATCATAACCAAACTACCGTATAAAAGGACAGCCTGACCAGTGGACACAGACGCCATCCCCTCAGCACTAGATAGACTCGCGCACGTAAGAAGCCCGAAAAAACCACCCATAGCAGGCTCCTCCTACCTCCAAAAGGCTTTCGAGCTCCTTCCTTGCTCCTCCAAAGAGGCTACGACCAGAGCAACCCAAACACACTGCTGCACACCTATGATTCCCAATACGTCATAAGTCCCACAGCCATAGCGCTGGAAACGAGCGCAAAACGTAACGGGAATTTCAGGAAACTGGATCCCAACAGCATTTAAACTCCTTAAAGCTCTTCGCCCGCCTGCACGGCGGTGAAGTGTAGCCCAACCCCCATGCATCTATAATTTTCGCATCACCGACATCTACAATTTCCGGAAGGAAGGCCTCTAGCAGCACAAGAGTACAGCACGCTACCAAATTGGAGAACCGTGGTCTCCCTAACTGGAAACAGTTTCAAAACAAGGAACCCCTCCTTTCAGTGCACCTGCCACCCCCAAACAGGGAGCCCAAAACCTGCCAAGCATTCCCTTCAGTGCCGGAGGAGGTTAGTTGAATTGATTGGGCGGTGAGGCGTAATCCAAGCCGCCATCCAAGCTGCTGGCACCTCACGCAACACCCGCTCACAATACGTTCACAATCACAGTATGTTCCGCCTCACGGCAAGTGTTCAACACCCGCTCACCATGCCGCATAGACAAGGCAGGAACAAAGGGCAGAGGCACCCGAAGAAACCGGACCAAATATATCTACGAATGAGGGAGGACCAGCCATGGTACTCTTTGCTGAACCCTCCACAGCCCCAGGCGCCCCACATTTCAGTGCTCAATTCCGTGTTTTGTAAGCTCAATAAGCAACCCGGATTTCCTGAACACACCGATACTTAAGTTTACGAAGGGCATGGCAGTGGACTAGAACCGGATAACGATACTTCAAAGCCCGCGAGCCTGATTACCGTATTGCCCAAAATTTAATTGGCATGCGTTTGGAGGCCTATTTTCCAGCCCCATTTGACAAAGCGGGAATAATTTATGCCCCATTTGACTTCCTGATGGCGAATTTCTAGCCCCATTTGACATGCGCCAAACGCCCCCAAAGCCACCGAACGTGTTGGATGTAACATGGTAAGGAAAGGAGCTGTTAGGAGGATAAGTGGAACACCACTTGGAAACCCCTACTGGGCATGGCGCGGTGAGGACGCAGCGCACTGGCAAGTCAGTTGCCCCCTACCTCTCCGCTCCCATCTTAGTTACCCTGCAGTCACCCCAGGCGAATTATTTTGCCCCCATTTGACACCTTGCCAGCGAATTTCCAGCCCCATTTGAAATGGCAAAAAAACATTTTTGCCCCATTTGACAAAACCCAAAACATTTTATTTTTGTCAATTAAATTTTGGGCAATACGGTAACCCACTACCTCTCAGGGCACGAAAGCGAAATGCCCAAACACCAGCAGCGACCCGGTTACAGTTACTCCGACGCTATGCCTGCAACTGGGACGAGAATGCCAGAGAAGACACTATGCGTTAAAAACCCTCCGGCATCTCCCCACCCCTAGTTATTAGCCAAGGCCCTGCCCGGCTAGCCGTCAAACACGCCCGCGGACCAAACGCCGCCGGGGGATAACTCCGAAGGGACTAAACTGCACTCGCTGTCAAGGGTGCCTACTACAATTCCCTGACACCATCACTAAATGAACGGGTTCCCCAACAAGCAGTTCGACCCCGGACTTGTTCTTACGCAAAGGCAAAGCATCAAACCAATCTACCCTTGGTACAGCCTGGTAACCGCCTACCCCGAACACCACAGCAACCAGTGCGGTGACCTTGACCATTACTACACCGGGGCACTCATGGCAGCATGGCAGCACGCATCCAGCTGTACAGCAGGGGCATGCTGAGCTGCTGACCCCTTTAGGTGCCATCGACGCCCTCCACGCCCCCACCTCCTGCTGCCCGCTTGGCCAGCTTAACACGCCGTGTACCTCGCCGCAACCCCAAGGCGGCCAGCCGCCTAAGGTCCGCCACAGCCGCCTGAAGTTCGGACATGTGCGCCAGCTGGTTAGCAATTGCCTCCTGCTGCTCCTCTATAGCCTTCTGCTGCTCCTCTATAGCCTTCCGCTGCTCCTCCATCGCCTTTTGCTGCTCCTCCTGCATCTGTGTCAGCTGCTCCTTCACCTCCTTCCCCAACTTCCGTGTTTCCAGTCCGACCTGCCGTACGCTTTCCTGCATGCCCCAATCGAACTGCTTTTCCTCCATTATTACCTCCGACAGCCGTTCGGGGCTCAGGTGGCCCTCCACTGCCAAGGCTACCTCTGACTTGGTAAAGCCGGCGTTGCGCAAAGCAAGCTCCAGTTCCCTCAATGTGATATACTGCGGCAATCAAGGAAAGCGAATGCCAGCATAATTGGCTAGGAATGCAACTGTGCAAGTAGCTGCAACACTTGGTAACTCACAGGCCCCACATTGTTCATGCACAGGCATACTGGGATCCCATCCGTTTATTAAATTCGTGCATCTTTGAGACATACCTTTCCAGCCTCGCTATCTAAAAGGGGAAACCTCCAACGAGTCTCCACAGGCTCATAGCCCCAAGCATCACGGCCTGGAATATAGCCCTCGGAGATCTGAACGAAAAAGCGACGGTGGGATGTGATAACAAGAGGCGTGGAGGGTGCAAGCTTTGCGGCGGAGAGGGGCACAGCAGGCAAGGGACACATGCCCTTGCATAATCAATGCACGGCAAACACCGGAGGGCTGAACCTGCTAGTACGTGCCACTGGTAGTACAGGAAACCCGGGGTCTTAAACCCTGATCTAAACCAACTACGTGCCACAACACCTGACGGACAGCACAGATATGCCAGTTTGTCACAATTATTGCCGTTGTCAACGCAATGAAAACCTGAGGGGTCATGCGTCTGGCTTGCAACACAGCAAGAGACTCACCGATTCAGCCGATTGAGAATCTGAAGGCTTCGAGCTGCCGCCAATTTGAGCCGCGGGCTGCTGGCTTCGCGCCTCATGCGCGGTGCCCGACTGAGACTCTGGAGGGTCTGACGACGGCTTCGGAGCCACAGGCAGGCTTCGCGCCGCAGGCTTGAGGATGCCGAGGGGAAAGGAAGCGACGTGGGGTGATGCAAGGTGCGTGAGTAAGGAAGTAACAGACTTCCATGAGCAAAGCAAACGATAAGGGGGTGGTACCACTCAACGGCTCGGTTTGTATAGCAGAGGCTTACTGCGTGCAGGAGAGGTCTTCTAATCACGCAATGTTGTTGTTGATGATGATAATGATGATGTGATGTTGCATGGCAGATGTTTGGAGCCTCCTGCCGGCAGAGGCTCGCAGATGCCAGTTTCCGAGGGTTGCTAGTAAGGCCCGTAACAGCTTCCATAGCTCGTTACGTTACAGAGGCTGCAATACGGTTTGTAGCACAGTTGCCGAACCATTTGCACAGCCCAAATTAGTTAAGCCAACACAAAAGGAGGATGGAGAGCTTAGACTTCCCGAAGCAAAATAGACGCATTTGGAATAAGAAACTAGGTCTAAATAGCAAAGGAGACAGGGGGGGGGTAAGAAATTTTCTTATAAACCCCAACCCGAAATTTCCAAAGAGAAGGCCTCGGAGCCACCCACCCACCGCCAAGCGTGTCGTACAACCTGTAAACTATGCCAAAACGCCGGGGAAAAAAGCGTCTAGGTTCCTCTGCGCAAGCTCTATTAAATGCAGTCGAAAAACCCCAAACCCCCTGGGAAGTTAATGTCACAGCGTTGCACTATGGACGGCTAAGGTAACCATGTTCTTGGCCCCAGCTTGACTGATGTTATGTATTTGGCGCCTAGGAAGCACCACGGCCCTTCCATTTGCGCCATACCACCGCAGTTCTGTTTTCACCAACCGAGACAACGGCGCCACCACGTTCCAGGTCCCTGCTCCTGCCTCTTCTTCCCCCTGTGGCACTGGGCCCTCGACCATAGCCCCTGGTACCAATTCCCACGCCTTCTTGTTTCTGTGCTCAGCATCCCCACCCCATTCGTGGTCACAGTAAGTGCTTTCTCGCAGCTCAGTCTGTCTACTCCAACCCCGCATCCTCAGTCGTGCTCCACATCCATGGGGACACGCGACATGCTGCTATGCTAGGCCTTTACAAAGGGCCGACTAGCCGCGTTCGCAATATATGTTTTCTACATAAGTTGTTTCTTGTACGTTTGGGGATTGGGCAGTCCCGTTCGGCTACCGTGGTTCAGAGGTGAAGTGTCATTGCAACATCGGAAGCCGAGAAGTGACCATTTTGTTGATAGAACTAATTCTGTGTATAAGAAACGAAGAAAGGATGGCAATACAGCTTTCAAAACACTAACATGAGGCCTGGAAAAATTTTCCGGAGGTTCATGTAAAAAAGTCGTTGGGGCCCTGAACCCACCCACCCACCCCTGCCGTACCACCAACTTTGCAAGCCCATAACTTTTTCCGTACAACTCTAAACAGAAATCTGAAAACAGATTCGGAATCCCCACGCAAAACTCCTTCGATTTGAGGGTTGGGGTCTATTTTTGCGGTTCTTACCCCCCCCTGAAGGAGATGTCTGCTTTCCATGCGATGATGGTGTGATGGAGAGGGCCATACGACGGCTGACGTGAAAGGTCTAAACCAGCCAGGAACCGTAATATGAGAGCACTGCTGCTTTCCACTATGATTGCTCCTCGTACATGCACAAGTCACATGCACGAATAAGCTGTACGACAGAGACGACAAGGCAGCCCGATAACTGGAGATGGAGTGTTGTCGCATGGCAAATGTTTGGAGCCTCCTTGGTTTGTTAAAGGTTTTAGAAACTCACAGGCCCCACATTGTTCAAGCACATCCGCCTAACTACTCTTCGGGCATCTTAGAGACATACCTCCTCAGCCAAACTAGCTGAAGGGGAAACCCTCCAACGAGTCCGTTCAGGCCCATGGCGCCGCGCATCATGGCCTGGTATGTAGTCGTCGAAGACCTGAGGGGAAAGGCAACGGCGGGAGGTGATTGCAAGAAGCGTGGAGGGTGCAACGCTTTGCGGCGGAGAGGGACACGGGCAATGGGCGCAGGCTCTTGTATGGGACAACACGGCAGACACCGGAGGGCTTAATAACCTGCTAGCACGAGCAACTGGTAGGACATGAAACCCAGGGGGTTAACCCCTGAACCTGAACCGATCTATAGCTCGCCAGCCACAAGGCTTGACAGACAGCACAGACTTGCCAGTTGCCACAATTGCTTGCCGTTGTCAAAGCTATGAAAACCTAAGGTGCCAATGCTGCGTCGACCTGGGTCATGTGCTATGACATGTGTAGAGATTCACGGCGGAAATGGAAGGCCAGCTAGCAGCTACCCATGCATCTGCCTTGCAACACAGCAAACAGACTCACCGCCGGCACCGGCACAGATACACTGCCCGAGTGAGACCCTGAAGGGTCTGTTGACAGCTTCGAGCTGCCATCACTCGGAACCGCAGGCTTGAGAATGCCAAGGAAGGGGAAAGGTGGCCATGTGGGGTGATCCAAGGTGCGTAAGAGGAGGGTAGTGAGCACGTAACGAACTAATTTGCTCGTTACAGAGGCTGCAATACGGTTTGTAGCACAGTTGCCGAACCATTTGCACAGCCCAAATTAGTTAAGCCAACACAAAAGGAGGATGGAGAGCTTAGACTTCCCGAAGCAAAATAGACGCATTTGGAATAAGAAACTAGGTCTAAATAGCAAAGGAGACAGGGGGGGGGTAAGAAATTTTCTTATAAACCCCAACCCGAAATTTCCAAAGAGAAGGCCTCGGAGCCACCCACCCACCGCCAAGCGTGTCGTACAACCTGTAAACTATGCCAAAACGCCGGGGAAAAAAGCGTCTAGGTTCCTCTGCGCAAGCTCTATTAAATGCAGTCGAAAAACCCCAAACCCCCTGGGAAGTTAATGTCACAGCGTTGCACTATGGACGGCTAAGGTAACCATGTTCTTGGCCCCAGCTTGACTGATGTTATGTATTTGGCGCCTAGGAAGCACCACGGCCCTTCCATTTGCGCCATACCACCGCAGTTCTGTTTTCACCAACCGAGACAACGGCGCCACCACGTTCCAGGTCCCTGCTCCTGCCTCTTCTTCCCCCTGTGGCACTGGGCCCTCGACCATAGCCCCTGGTACCAATTCCCACGCCTTCTTGTTTCTGTGCTCAGCATCCCCACCCCATTCGTGGTCACAGTAAGTGCTTTCTCGCAGCTCAGTCTGTCTACTCCAACCCCGCATCCTCAGTCGTGCTCCACATCCATGGGGACACGCGACATGCTGCTATGCTAGGCCTTTACAAAGGGCCGACTAGCCGCGTTCGCAATATATGTTTTCTACATAAGTTGTTTCTTGTACGTTTGGGGATTGGGCAGTCCCGTTCGGCTACCGTGGTTCAGAGGTGAAGTGTCATTGCAACATCGGAAGCCGAGAAGTGACCATTTTGTTGATAGAACTAATTCTGTGTATAAGAAACGAAGAAAGGATGGCAATACAGCTTTCAAAACACTAACATGAGGCCTGGAAAAATTTTCCGGAGGTTCATGTAAAAAAGTCGTTGGGGCCCTGAACCCACCCACCCACCCCTGCCGTACCACCAACTTTGCAAGCCCATAACTTTTTCCGTACAACTCTAAACAGAAATCTGAAAACAGATTCGGAATCCCCACGCAAAACTCCTTCGATTTGAGGGTTGGGGTCTATTTTTGCGGTTCTTACCCCCCCCTGAAGGAGATGTCTGCTTTCCATGCGATGATGGTGTGATGGAGAGGGCCATACGACGGCTGACGTGAAAGGTCTAAACCAGCCAGGAACCGTAATATGAGAGCACTGCTGCTTTCCACTATGATTGCTCCTCGTACATGCACAAGTCACATGCACGAATAAGCTGTACGACAGAGACGACAAGGCAGCCCGATAACTGGAGATGGAGTGTTGTCGCATGGCAAATGTTTGGAGCCTCCTTGGTTTGTTAAAGGTTTTAGAAACTCACAGGCCCCACATTGTTCAAGCACATCCGCCTAACTACTCTTCGGGCATCTTAGAGACATACCTCCTCAGCCAAACTAGCTGAAGGGGAAACCCTCCAACGAGTCCGTTCAGGCCCATGGCGCCGCGCATCATGGCCTGGTATGTAGTCGTCGAAGACCTGAGGGGAAAGGCAACGGCGGGAGGTGATTGCAAGAAGCGTGGAGGGTGCAACGCTTTGCGGCGGAGAGGGACACGGGCAATGGGCGCAGGCTCTTGTATGGGACAACACGGCAGACACCGGAGGGCTTAATAACCTGCTAGCACGAGCAACTGGTAGGACATGAAACCCAGGGGGTTAACCCCTGAACCTGAACCGATCTATAGCTCGCCAGCCACAAGGCTTGACAGACAGCACAGACTTGCCAGTTGCCACAATTGCTTGCCGTTGTCAAAGCTATGAAAACCTAAGGTGCCAATGCTGCGTCGACCTGGGTCATGTGCTATGACATGTGTAGAGATTCACGGCGGAAATGGAAGGCCAGCTAGCAGCTACCCATGCATCTGCCTTGCAACACAGCAAACAGACTCACCGCCGGCACCGGCACAGATACACTGCCCGAGTGAGACCCTGAAGGGTCTGTTGACAGCTTCGAGCTGCCATCACTCGGAACCGCAGGCTTGAGAATGCCAAGGAAGGGGAAAGGTGGCCATGTGGGGTGATCCAAGGTGCGTAAGAGGAGGGTAGTGAGCACGTAACGAACTAATTTGCTCGTTACAGAGGCTGCAATACGGTTTGTAGCACAGTTGCCGAACCATTTGCACAGCCCAAATCAGTTAAGCCAACACAAAAGGAGGATGGAGAGCTTAGACTTCCCGAAGCAAAACAAACGCATTTGGAATGAACAACTAGGTTTGAATAGCAAAGGAGACAGGGGGGGGGTAAGAAATTTTCTTATAAACCCCAACCCGAAATTTCCAAAGAGAAGGCCTCGGAGCCACCCACCCACCGCCAAGCGTGTCGTACAACCTGTAAACTATGCCAAAACGCCGGGGAAAAAAGCGTCTAGGTTCCTCTGCGCAAGCTCTATTAAATGCAGTCGAAAAACCCCAAACCCCCTGGGAAGTTAATGTCACAGCGTTGCACTATGGACGGCTAAGGTAACCATGTTCTTGGCCCCAGCTTGACTGATGTTATGTATTTGGCGCCTAGGAAGCACCACGGCCCTTCCATTTGCGCCATACCACCGCAGTTCTGTTTTCACCAACCGAGACAACGGCGCCACCACGTTCCAGGTCCCTGCTCCTGCCTCTTCTTCCCCCTGTGGCACTGGGCCCTCGACCATAGCCCCTGGTACCAATTCCCACGCCTTCTTGTTTCTGTGCTCAGCATCCCCACCCCATTCGTGGTCACAGTAAGTGCTTTCTCGCAGCTCAGTCTGTCTACTCCAACCCCGCATCCTCAGTCGTGCTCCACATCCATGGGGACACGCGACATGCTGCTATGCTAGGCCTTTACAAAGGGCCGACTAGCCGCGTTCGCAATATATGTTTTCTACATAAGTTGTTTCTTGTACGTTTGGGGATTGGGCAGTCCCGTTCGGCTACCGTGGTTCAGAGGTGAAGTGTCATTGCAACATCGGAAGCCGAGAAGTGACCATTTTGTTGATAGAACTAATTCTGTGTATAAGAAACGAAGAAAGGATGGCAATACAGCTTTCAAAACACTAACATGAGGCCTGGAAAAATTTTCCGGAGGTTCATGTAAAAAAGTCGTTGGGGCCCTGAACCCACCCACCCACCCCTGCCGTACCACCAACTTTGCAAGCCCATAACTTTTTCCGTACAACTCTAAACAGAAATCCGAAAACAGATTCGGAATCCCCACGCAAAACTCCTTCGATTTGAGGGTTGGGGTCTATTTTTGCGGTTCTTACCCCCCCCTGAAGGAGATGTCTGCTTTCCATGCGATGATGGTGTGATGGAGAGGGCCATACGACGGCTGACGTGAAAGGTCTAAACCAGCCAGGAACCGTAATATGAGAGCACTGCTGCTTTCCACTATGATTGCTCCTCGTACATGCACAAGTCACATGCACGAATAAGCTGTACGACAGAGACGACAAGGCAGCCCGATAACTGGAGATGGAGTGTTGTCGCATGGCAAATGTTTGGAGCCTCCTTGGTTTGTTAAAGGTTTTAGAAACTCACAGGCCCCACATTGTTCAAGCACATCCGCCTAACTACTCTTCGGGCATCTTAGAGACATACCTCCTCAGCCAAACTAGCTGAAGGGGAAACCCTCCAACGAGTCCGTTCAGGCCCATGGCGCCGCGCATCATGGCCTGGTATGTAGTCGTCGAAGACCTGAGGGGAAAGGCAACGGCGGGAGGTGATTGCAAGAAGCGTGGAGGGTGCAACGCTTTGCGGCGGAGAGGGACACGGGCAATGGGCGCAGGCTCTTGTATGGGACAACACGGCAGACACCGGAGGGCTTAATAACCTGCTAGCACGAGCAACTGGTAGGACATGAAACCCAGGGGGTTAACCCCTGAACCTGAACCGATCTATAGCTCGCCAGCCACAAGGCTTGACAGACAGCACAGACTTGCCAGTTGCCACAATTGCTTGCCGTTGTCAAAGCTATGAAAACCTAAGGTGCCAATGCTGCGTCGACCTGGGTCATGTGCTATGACATGTGTAGAGATTCACGGCGGAAATGGAAGGCCAGCTAGCAGCTACCCATGCATCTGCCTTGCAACACAGCAAACAGACTCACCGCCGGCACCGGCACAGATACACTGCCCGAGTGAGACCCTGAAGGGTCTGTTGACAGCTTCGAGCTGCCATCACTCGGAACCGCAGGCTTGAGAATGCCAAGGAAGGGGAAAGGTGGCCATGTGGGGTGATCCAAGGTGCGTAAGAGGAGGGTAGTGAGCACGTAACGAACTAATTTGCTCGTTACAGAGGCTGCAATACGGTTTGTAGCACAGTTGCCGAACCATTTGCACAGCCCAAATCAGTTAAGCCAACACAAAAGGAGGATGGAGAGCTTAGACTTCCCGAAGCAAAACAAACGCATTTGGAATGAACAACTAGGTTTGAATAGCAAAGGAGATGTCTGCTTTCCATGTGATGATGGTGTGATGGAGAGGGCCATACGACCGCTGACGCTGGACATGAAAAGTCTAAACCAGCCGGGAAAAAGGCATCAGGCAACCGTAATATGAGAGCACTGCTGCTTTCCACTATGATTGCTCCTCGTACATGCACAAGTCACATGCACGAATAAGCTGTACGACAGAGACGACAAGGCAGCCCGATAACTGGAGATGGAGTGTTGTCGCATGGCAAATGTTTGGAGCCTCCTTGGTTTGTTAAAGGTTTTAGAAACTCACAGGCCCCACATTGTTCAAGCACATCCGCCTAACTACTCTTCGGGCATCTTAGAGACATACCTCCTCAGCCAAACTAGCTGAAGGGGAAACCCTCCAACGAGTCCGTTCAGGCCCATGGCGCCGCGCATCATGGCCTGGTATGTAGTCGTCGAAGACCTGAGGGGAAAGGCAACGGCGGGAGGTGATTGCAAGAAGCGTGGAGGGTGCAACGCTTTGCGGCGGAGAGGGACACGGGCAATGGGCGCAGGCTCTTGTATGGGACAACACGGCAGACACCGGAGGGCTTAATAACCTGCTAGCACGAGCAACTGGTAGGACATGAAACCCAGGGGGTTAACCCCTGAACCTGAACCGATCTATAGCTCGCCAGCCACAAGGCTTGACAGACAGCACAGACTTGCCAGTTGCCACAATTGCTTGCCGTTGTCAAAGCTATGAAAACCTAAGGTGCCAATGCTGCGTCGACCTGGGTCATGTGCTATGACATGTGTAGAGATTCACGGCGGAAATGGAAGGCCAGCTAGCAGCTACCCATGCATCTGCCTTGCAACACAGCAAACAGACTCACCGCCGGCACCGGCACAGATACACTGCCCGAGTGAGACCCTGAAGGGTCTGTTGACAGCTTCGAGCTGCCATCACTCGGAACCGCAGGCTTGAGAATGCCAAGGAAGGGGAAAGGTGGCCATGTGGGGTGATCCAAGGTGCGTAAGAGGAGGGTAGTGAGCACGTAACGAACTAATTTGCTCGTTACAGAGGCTGCAATACGGTTTGTAGCACAGTTGCCGAACCATTTGCACAGCCCAAATCAGTTAAGCCAACACAAAAGGAGGATGGAGAGCTTAGACTTCCCGAAGCAAAACAAACGCATTTGGAATGAACAACTAGGTTTGAATAGCAAAGGAGATGTCTGCTTTCCATGTGATGATGGTGTGATGGAGAGGGCCATACGACCGCTGACGCTGGACATGAAAAGTCTAAACCAGCCGGGAAAAAGGCATCAGGCAACCGTAATATGAGAGCACTGCTGCTTTCCACTATGATTGCTCCTCGTACATGCACAAGTCACATGCACGAATAAGCTGTACGACAGATACGACAAGGCAGCCCGATAACTGGAGATGGAGTGTTGTCGCATGGCAAATGTTTGGAGCCTCCTTGGTTTGTTAAAGGTTTTAGAAACTCACAGGCCCCACATTGTTCAAGCACATCCGCCTAACTACTCTTCGGGCATCTTAGAGACATACCTCCTCAGCCAAACTAGCTGAAGGGGAAACCCTCCAACGAGTCCGTTCAGGCCCATGGCGCCGCGCATCATGGCCTGGTATGTAGTCGTCGAAGACCTGAGGGGAAAGGCAACGGCGGGAGGTGATTGCAAGAAGCGTGGAGGGTGCAACGCTTTGCGGCGGAGAGGGACACGGGCAATGGGCGCAGGCTCTTGTATGGGACAACACGGCAGACACCGGAGGGCTTAATAACCTGCTAGCACGAGCAACTGGTAGGACATGAAACCCAGGGGGTTAACCCCTGAACCTGAACCGATCTATAGCTCGCCAGCCACAAGGCTTGACAGACAGCACAGACTTGCCAGTTGCCACAATTGCTTGCCGTTGTCAAAGCTATGAAAACCTAAGGTGCCAATGCTGCGTCGACCTGGGTCATGTGCTATGACATGTGTAGAGATTCACGGCGGAAATGGAAGGCCAGCTAGCAGCTACCCATGCATCTGCCTTGCAACACAGCAAACAGACTCACCGCCGGCACCGGCACAGATACACTGCCCGAGTGAGACCCTGAAGGGTCTGTTGACAGCTTCGAGCTGCCATCACTCGGAACCGCAGGCTTGAGAATGCCAAGGAAGGGGAAAGGTGGCCATGTGGGGTGATCCAAGGTGCGTAAGAGGAGGGTAGTGAGCACGTAACGAACTAATTTGCTCGTTACAGAGGCTGCAATACGGTTTGTAGCACAGTTGCCGAACCATTTGCACAGCCCAAATCAGTTAAGCCAACACAAAAGGAGGATGGAGAGCTTAGACTTCCCGAAGCAAAATAGACGCATTTGGAATAAGAAACTAGATTTAATATGCCAGTTTCTGAGGGCTGCAAGTACCGGCAAGACCCGTAGCAGCTTCCATAGCTTGGCACAATGCGCCAAAACAGGACAACACAAAACAAGAACCGTTGACCGTAGACCATGGTGCACTCACACCCTAGCAGGCAGCAGTAACTATAGTAACTATAGTTCAGTTAGTTTGGTCCTTTCTGGGAGTGCGCCTCGCACTGCTGCACCTAGACTCCATGAGCTTCGCCGCCTCCCGCACATAAGCAAGCGTGGATGCTGGTCCACAATGTACCTACCTTCCTATTATCTCGCTTGCAGATTGTGGAAATACGTCCCAGTTCCTGAGGAGCGCGGCGCCGTGCGGATATGGTCAGAATGCAGCGGCGGCGGTCAGCAAGACACTGCATATATACAGGTGCACAAGCAACTGAGATGCGTGGTGCCGGTCCGACCTTTAGCATGTTTGTATGTGCCCAGTGGTGTACCATCACGGACTTACCCAGCCGTCAAGGATGCTGAGGATGATTCCGGCCACTTTGTCGGCATATAAACGTATACCAATGACCGGCACCACGACCGCAAGCTCAACCGCGTAGTATGCCAGCCCAAACACCAGCCAGAAAGGTAGAGTGGCGAGGCACCAAGCAGGAAACGGAAGCCAGCCTAGCCGCCTGGCAAGGGCCCGTATCCAATTCTGTGGGCACGTGGACGTTAATGGGAAGATGTAATGTTAGCGTCTGGACGGCATATGGTCAAAAGGGCTGAGCACTTCTGCCCAAAGGACGCCAGGACAAGGTGTGCCGGGAGATGACATCCCATGTTTAGGAAGCTGGTGCCCCTTGCTCGGGGAGGCGTTGGAACTCAGAGCAGTTAGCTGATGTGTTCAATGCATGATGAAATGCCCCCCCTTGTCCAGTATAGACTGAAAGGCAAGTCGCATTGGCATCGACAGATGTACTGTAACATCTTGAAGGATTTCCAAAACACACGTTTCCGGGGCAAGGCATGTAAACACATGCATGCGGGGGAACATATAGATAAGTGCATCAACTGAGTCCCAATCCTCAATCCCGACTCATGCAGTGAGCGCATTCGGAGACCCTATCCTAGAAACACGCAACTACCGATTGCATGGGGGGGGGGGCGTCGCCCCTCGATGCCGCGCCAGGACGCGGGCTCCACCAAATACGCGCGACCTACTTGTTCTTGGGCAGCAGGTGTTGGCATACTGTCCCTAGTCATATAGCGGTATTCGCAGAAGGGGAGGTAGACAATGCACCATGGCGTCATGGCGACATGGACCGCCCAGATAAGCACCAACAGGATGGGGTGCACGGTCAGCTGGTACACCAGGTGCGGCAGTGCGTTGAATCCGGTGGGTTGCCCCTCTTCCTTCAAAGAGCCTGGAGGTGGTGGAACCCAGTCTGGATCAGTCGTGACATTCCAATCTTACACCAGGGGTGGTAGGAAACGCGAGAACAGAATCCATGGCTAAAAAACAAAGAGATCGTTGAGAGCCTTCCAAATCAGCTTTCAGATTTTTATTTGCAGTTGTACGGAAAACACTATCTGCGCCCAAAGGTGACAGTACTGCACGGTGGGGTCTGGGGGTCCGGTGGGCTTTTTCCGAGGGCTTCCTAACTCTCTCCTGACGTTGCCAAACTCATTGAAGTATGTATATATGATAATTATACTGTAAGCAGTCTACATAATTTATTTTTGCCTTCCTGATATGGTTCAGGGACGGCACGATGACACACCACGCATGGGTGGTCAGAGATATACGTCATATACCAAAATCACGCAAACCGGTATGTGGGGGACAGGCAGGGTGCGGGTCCGGGTGCCTTTAGTTAGGGGTGGTCTGCCCAGGCAAGCAGAAGGGGACCGGGAAGCTAACTATGTGGTACAGCTCCACCATGCATTGCACCTCTGGGTTGGGGTTCAGGGGAGAAGAACGGGGCAGGACTCTCGGCAGCAGCTGCGTCGCCTGTGCCAGCCGCGGCAGGTCGTCTGAGCCCTGCTAATACTGGTAATTGCTGGTATTGACGCAGTAGTGCGTGTGTGGAAAGCTAGAGTATGACAGTGCATCCGTTACTGTCGAAGTGTCGAGAGAGTAGGATGGGTGTAACCATCGCATGACGCCACCATGGCATGACTTAGTAGGTGCATAAGAAGAGGACACTAAAAGGAATCCATGGGTCTTTGCGTTATATTTGGCGTACGGCGACATGGAATTATTTGCGTTCGAAGTTCTGTCAGGTGTCAAGAGGAATCAACTGACTAAGGGATAAGGGTGAGTGGGTGGGTCCGGGAGGGAGACCACTAGTTTTAAAAGCTGACACCCCTTGCTTGGGTTCACTGCAATTGAAAGCTGTTGTTGTGTTAGACAGCATTGACAGCGACATGCATAGGGTAACGTCGTAAGGTAGGCTTATCCGCTAGGTGCGCGTTGTCGCTGTGACTATTATAACCACCTTATGCAATAGACTACCAATTCGGTGGTATTAGTTCATAGACGGGGTCGGCTCCAAGTAGATGCGAGCATGATGCCGCCAAATTTCACGGGTTGTCGATATTCGACATGTCACTGTTACCAATCCACTCTATAGAAGTTACGGTACCGGTAATCGGTATGGACACGGTGGACCTTTTCGATGGCTGGAAGAAATCGTTTATTACGAAATGACTTTTGTTGGGCTTGCAATTATTTTCATTAAAAAAAAGATAAGGGGTCGTTTACATATATATGGCGGATATTCAAATTGGAGAGAGGTAAAACTTTTCTTTTATTTGTGCCACGCGTGATCGGTCCCAGACTTCCCAAAGATCGGGACGTAGTAGAAAAGGCTGACAGAACCGAAAATAAAAAGAAACAATTCTGTCGCTCATTGCAGACTCATGCTTCAAGCGCCTTTTGCGTCACAGGGCCCCAAACTCAATGTGAACGTGCGCGAAATTTATATCGAATTCTGCGCCACAGCTGCATCTAGTACTTTTGGCATATGTGAACGACCCCTAAGAAATAGAGCTACATATGACACACCGACACACGGACATGGCCAATCCATCACCCCCTGAAGCCACTTCACGGCGTGGGCTCACCAGTAGTGGAACCTTTTACAATCACTGGAGTGTCACGGCATGCGCTCTTGTGACTCCACGGCACCAGTTGACCCATGCATGGGGTCGTTTACATATGGCGGATATTCGAAAAAGTGGAGAGAGGTAGGAAATGATATAAATTTTCGCCAAAGTACTTTCTTTTGTGTCACGCGCTCTTGGTCCTAGACTTTGCAAAGATCGGGACGAGGTAGAAAGGCCGAGAGACTGAGAATACCAGACCGAAGCGATCTCATGGCCTGCCCAAATGGGTGTGTAGCATGGGGGGGGTGACGGTGTGGTGGGGTGGTTGGGTGCGTTTTCGCGGCTGTTTATGATGGCGGTGTGTGGGAGTCATGCTTGGGCTGACGAGGCTGCTTAGGAGAGTGACGAGCAGGTTTGGGAGAACGCTTCTCTGCACGCCTTCTCAGCAGCTTCGACACACGAGTGCGTGCTGGTGGTCGGGAGCCCAAGGCCGTCGGAATCCACATCTGGCTCGTTCTCGGTGCCGGGTTCGTCTTCCTCTGAAAGGGCATGGCGCGAACCCACAACTCTGTCATCTATGTATCTCAAGCAGCAAGTGTTCACTAAGGCTTATCCAACGTTTGTGCGCTTATATGAAGGCCGGAGCTATAGAACCTTTGTCAATGCCCCACAACTAGCAAATATTGGCAAACAACCAATAACCTACCAATGTCACCATCCTCCACACCGCTATTGTTGCTGACGTTTCCATTATCCTCTGATGAACATAGAAGACGCTGAGTTTTCGCCAACTGCCCAAGTCGGTAGTGCACTTGACTGTACGTGGCAGCACTTCCATTCAACTCCTTTACGACAGCGCCCGCTGTTACTTTTCTGTTGGTGGATTGTAGCGTGAGCACTGCTTCCTGAAACGCTGATTCTTCGTCCGGAGTCCACTTTGAACGCTTCTTCGAAGGCTGAGTGGTAGCGTTGGGCCTAGGCCGGATATACTTTTGCCCGGCTTTGTTGTATTGCAAAAAGCTGAGAACACGTTTATACGTCAAGCCCTTCAAGCGCGTGTCGGAGCACACTTCATCATACAATAGCTTGGCAGTAAGTTTCAGTCCGCTAGAAGCAATAGTCTCGGCTGCTTTACACAGAGCCTCAACTTCATATGTTTTCCTGCATTCCCTGGCCATTGTGTGTATTGAGTAATGAAGGCAATACCAAAGCCATTTGTGTCGGCCCTATTAAACTACGCTGCTGGCCTTACCGCGACAACAACCTAACGGATACCAACGTGTAGCAAGCTATCAACATGCGCTAGAGGCCTCTTCTTTTGTAACTTGCTTTGTACTTTGTACGACACAGGCCAACATCACTGCTCACCCATATACATATCATTATTTTAACATTACAATACAACCAACACCTGTGCCATGATTATGTGACGAACGCTGCAGCCAGAAACTCCTCTCAACTCATAACAGTTCGTTCTTGACTTGGAGCCACATCGCAGGTTGTCTTTGTGACTTGCATGTACACATTCAAATTTCAAACCTATTGCACGAAAAAGATGCCAAAAAGCTCACGCAAAAACATCTACAATTTGCCGGGGTGTTCACTAAGGCTGTTCCCTTGCTTCCAAGCCGCGGCCTAGCGGAGCGCCTGGGATCAAGGGCAGGCCAAAAAGCCACAATTACTCCGCCTTTTGCATCACAGGGCCCCAAACTCAATGTGAACGCGCGTGTGATTTATATCGAATTCTGCTTACATTTAAGCTTTTTCAATATTTTTAGCATATGTAAACGACCCCTACCACACCTTGTCACGCGGATGCTGAACACCCTAGTTTACTATAGTTTGACTGATCGGTACCGCGTTCGTTGCATGGGTAGACGAGCTCAGACCCCTCGCCCCTAGACCAGGCGAGGCTGGCTGCCTTGTTCATTCTGGGAGTACATTTCACAAAATTCAGGATTACATCTGTTCAGTCGAGTACTCCGTAACGTCTCATCATGCTTGATAGCAACCATGCAGCAGGAACCGAACCCAACCCACGGCGTTATTGCCACATGGGAGTGCTGTCAGGTCACGCAGGTAAATAGTTTACTTTCACCTACATTACTTTAGCAGGATGCGGAGGACAGGCGCGGCGTCGTGCTCACATGGTTTCGACCATTTCACGTAACATCGCATGGGTTATAGGCGAGGCATCAGTTCACGTTATAACATATATGCATTATGAGGTGCAAGATAATAGCAAAGGCCGGCGGCTTCAGCGCATGGGCATGTGTGGGGTCTGGGTAGACGCAAGCATGGTCCTGCTTGCTTCACAGATAGCCCTATGGCAGCACGCCACTGTTACCAATTCAAGAAGTACTGTTTACGGTACCAGACAAGGGGGTTCAGCTTCCTCAAAGCTGGAAAAGGGCGGAGCCCCTCCTCTTCAGTACAGGAACGTATTATTACAACTGGAATGAATGCGATTATTCCAGGGGAGTGGAATGGCTCAAGTGCGACGCACAACCCTATGGGCCTTATAGACCTGGAATGCGCTCCTGTGACTCCACGGCACCAGTTGACCTAACACACCTTGTTATACGGACGCTGAACCCCCTTGTTTACTGTAGCTTTAGTGCTCGTTGCATGGCTAGACGAGCTCAGAGCCCCTTGTCCAGCCGAACCGGCCGCCTTGTTCACTCATGGCGTACATAGTGTCCTCACTCATTGCACACATTGTTAGGTTACGCCTGTTCAATCGAGTACTTAGTAACGTCTTATCATTCTTGATAACACCCACGCATTTGGCTACAGAACCCAAATTGACGGCGTAACTGCCACATGGGAGTGCTTTCAGGGTCCCGCAGGTCGTTAGAGTTTCACCTACATTACTAACATGATGAGGAGGTCAGGCTCGGCAATCTCGGCATCGTGCTCAGAAGGACTTCAGCCATTGCGCCGGCACATGACATGTTAGCTTTTAAGCGAGGTACCCCGTACCCGTTTGCGTTACAGTTCATACGCATTATGGCACACAAACCCATAGCAAAGGCTGGCAACATCGTCACAAAGGATTGTGTGGGCTCTGAGTAGCACAGTAGATGCGAGCATGCTCCCGCCGACTTTCACAGATAGCACTTTTGCGACACGCCGTTGTTACCAATTCACTAAATACTGTTTACGGTACCAGGACAAACCATAGAGGAGCGCTAATCGGTGTTGCCGAGGTGGTCCTTGTTAAATGGCTGGTCAATAAATCGTTTGTTGTGAAATTAAGTTTGTTTGGCTTCCAATGATTTTTACTGAATACAAATAACAAATATCTATCAGGTGCAATACATAGTTTTGTCTAGTTTGTATGTTTTGCCGTTACGGACACACGGACACACGGACAGGGGCAATCCTGGGGGGCGAAGCCCCCCCGAAGCCGCTTCGCGGCGGGGGCTCCGCCCAAAAAAGAGCAAAGAGGAGCAGTAATTAATCGGTGTTGCCGCGGTGGTCCTTCTCAATGGTTAACATATGATTCGTTGCGAATTCAGTTTTACTTGCAGTTATCTTTACTCAATAGAGATGCGAAATACATACTAGCTGCGCGAATTAGGTTTCTCTCGTATGTATGTTTTGCTGCTCCTGACACACGGACGGACGGACGGATGGACGTGGGCAATCCTGGGGGGCGTCGCCAACCCCGAAGCTGCTTGGCGGCGGGGGCTCCGCCCAAAAATGAGATGGGGGGCCAGCAATGCACTACAGTGAAAGGTGAATCTTGGAAGTAGCCCTCTTCGGTTGGACACACAACCCAATATAGAGCGCAGACCCGTCACCTACTTCTTTTCCGCAGGATGCCAATTGGCAGCCATGACAGCAACAGCAGAGGTAGTGAGAACGGTGCTCCCAGCAAATGACGCTCTACCATGTACTCGTAGTGCCGCAGCTGCTCGGCGGCCTGGAACCGAGACTGCTTAGCAAACTGCAGGCAGCAGCGTGAGTTTCGAAGGCAGGCTTTAGGAGCAGTGCCAGCAGCTTGGCAAGGTAGAGACACAATAAGCGGGAATGTACATTTAAAGACGGTAGGCATGTTTAGAATGCATAATAAAGAGGATGTTGGGGAAGGTTGAGGCTTGGTAGCCCCTGGTCACAAGGGCAGTATTATGTGAATTATATAATAGATCTACGGGGCGAGCCAGTGAACGCACCTGCTCAGGCTTGTAGTGGTAGGTCATGAGAGCGATGAGCAGGTTTGCCATCACGACCGTGGCCATCAGCGTGAACAGCATTGCCAGGATGTTGCCGTACAGGTTGTATAACTGGTTGTGCTCTTTATCCATCAGCTCAAACATGGTTTCCCCCACGAAGGTGCGGAAGAGCTGGACAAGAACCAAGGGGAAGGTGCTGAGCTCCGGAATGCTTGTATGGGACCTTTGTTCAGGGAGTTTGGCAGGAGGGCAAGAAAAGTGAAAAGACTGAAACAAATCCTACCAGATCCCTGGTGACCCACCTGAAGACGGAGAAGAAACTGAAGGCCACGCCAAACATCAGTACGACGCCGGGAAGCGCAAACTTCAGCATCTGTCATGGTGTTAAGGAGACAGGTGACGTCAGGTAGCTTGACACCAGACACCATAACATGCCATTCATTCCGTGCAAACCATCTGGCACTAGCGCCTATCCTTGCTAATAAGCGCCTGCAGGTGCTAACAGCCCATCCAGGGTAGGGCATTGAAATGGCACGATGCATGACTGCTGGCAACTGTTTCCAACACTATCTGGCCTCCCAATCCAGGGCATTTTTCCCCACCTCTCGAATCATCTGGCTGATAACCATGAGCAAGCTGCCGAACCCTTCATGTAGGGGAATAAGATACTGCAGGGTCCGGGCCCAGACGAGGATGGAGGCAGTGCTGTACAGCAGCTCCTTGGCCGTGCAGATGTCCTTCCAGCGCGGGTTAACCTTTGCCGACATCAATGGTAGGAACGACAAGGTTCACCGTTAATAATGAGATGATGCTCTGGCTAAAAGCTAACTGTAGATGATCACGAGTACGGCAGTTGTCGCCAAGCGGCTTTGGGGGGGGGGGCAATCAATGCCCCCCTAGGATTGCCCATGTCCGTGTGTCCGTAACCGCGAAGTATATAAACTAGACAAAACTATTATTTGCAACTACTAGTTATTTGTTATCTCTATTCAGTAAAAACAACTGCAAGGCAGCAAACTTAGTTTAGCAACAAACGAATTATTGACCACCATTCAAATTTTGACATACTGTGCGTTTCAGGCGAATCTTTTAGTGGCTAAACCGTCCGAAGTAGCGGCGCTGAAGGCGCCTTTTTAGCCAAATTTCGCCTCCAGCCAAAAACAATTCCCTAACAAAACCTATGAAATCGTCTGCGTGGTCGCTGAACCCTGTTTTGCGGGAAGTGCAGGCAGGGCAGGAAGTCTGTGAGCGAGATGCTTAGTTGGAAGGCTCACCTAGTATCACCTAGTATCCATTGCACTAAACTCAGTCGCATCTGCACCCATGCTTGCGCATCGCACTCAATGGCACGTCCGTGAAAAACAGCAGCTCTTGGGAGGGCAGAGAGAAACAAATTGGACCTTAGGGGACGTTGTTGTGAGGTGGCATGCAACAAAGCGCGGCCCTACACAAAGCAGTCAAGCTAGCTGGCCACATGCGTTTGAAACATACTGCGTAACTGTGCCACGAAAGGATTCCGTGACAAGAATCTTCTTCGTGGTCTAGTTGGGAGCCGCTTGACATGCAATTTGGGGGCCGCAGTAACTGTAGGGGCGTTCGTGACATGTGTGACACACGTGCGTGAGGAACGAACTCGCGATACAGAGGTGTGTCCCCTTAGATAAACATGCATACATGCCGGTGCTGTGAGTCCGGTGTCTTGACTTGTTACCCGGGGGTAACAAGGCTGGGTTAGGTACCTCGGAAACTGAGGTTCTTCATACCCAGTTAACCCACCTGATGAAACAGACCCATGACCAGGGGGTAACGTAGGGACGCCAGTTACCCCTCGGTTGGAAAATGGGCAACGGAGGGGGTAAAGCGGTACCCCTGGGGTAAGACCTGGTTCGACTGCTGCTATATCCGTAACCATTCTCCGTATTCCTCACCAGTATCCGCAAACTAACCATAGGAGTCCGAAACATTACTACGGAACCTAGTTCAATGCTACTTACTCACTTGTAGGTGTAGTGGGAATACATCACGCGCACGCTTCTTTTGTCCTTGAGTGCAGTCCCCATGAAGTACCGTACTACATGACACTAGTCAATTCGTAATCTGGGCCTGCCCTCCGTAAGGGTGTGTTCACATGTGCGCGAACCAGGGTGAATCGGGGTGGTTGGCTGGAACGCCCAAGGCGTTGGAACGCGCATTTATACACACTGCTTTCAACTAATGTGCTTTGATGAGCACTACTAGCGGCGATGCGCTGTCCGCGAGCGAAGAGTCAAACTATAATAAGCAAGGGGATTCAGCATCCACGTAGCAAGGTGTGTAAGGTCAACTGGTGCCGAGATTTGACCGTGCGCATGCCGTGCGCATGCCGTGACATCCCAGTGATCACAGCACGTTCCTGTACTGAGCAGGCAGGAGGGACTCCACCCTTTTCCAGCTTTGAGGAAGCTGAACCCCCTTTTCAGTGACTCTATAATCAACGTCTGGTTTCACTGCTGCATTCGGTGATCAGTGCAAACATCACCGGATGCCCCCTTTATACTTTAAATCAATGTCACACACCTGTCCACCTGGCAGGCCCCACATGGCCAGCTTGAGTCCGAAGCACGCCACCAACATTGCCACCAGCAGCGCCTCCACAACGTTGAAGCCGTTGGAATAGTATCGCATTATACGACCATGATACTGGTAGATGAGCTCCTGAGCCTCGTCCACCACCATGCCCGCGATGTACAGCACCAGCACCACATGCTGCCACACCAGCCGGAACTCGTCTGGGGTGTAGCAGGATATTGGTTAGTTTAAGAGCCAGACCTAACATTTGTCAGATGTGTCAGCAAGCTGCCTGATGCATGGACACCAGCCCCACCTAAGACTCCTTCAAACAATGCCAACAGCAACTCCCTTGTTTGCACTGCTTCACATGCCTCACCCGTCATGAGCAGCACATGGTGGTACACGTACAGGAAGAAGCTCTCAAGGAAGAGCTTGAACACCCAGCGGCGTTGCGGGGAATCGAAGAAGTGCGAGTCATCGCTGTGGGGATTTAAGGCAATAATAATAATAATTAAAGGGAACTTCAAAGCATGGAGGTTGTCATGGACCAACGCATAACCGTTATGTGCAGCACATTGTACTTTGCTCATGCACCTACTCACTGAGCCATAAAATCTCACATAAAATTGGTGACGTTGGCGGGTAAAAGGCCTTTAGAAATTAACCACTCCACCAGAATGTCGACGACCTGCACGTGCATGGGGCTAAAGTGAAAAGCACAGAAAGGCTTTGCTTCACCTTCCATATGTGTGCATAGGAAGAGCAGATAAGCAGCAACGGCTGCTCAATATACATGTAGCCGAATGCATAAATTAAAGTGGGTGGTATCCTACAGGGTGTTCTAAAGGCTGGCCCACGGATTTGCGTCTGAGGTACTCTATCTGTCGGCTAAGTGTTTGTGTCTGGTGTACGAACCATAAATAAAGGGGTCATGCATAGCAGCAACACGTTGCCCATACAGCAAGGCAGCCACACTATTTTACACAAATTAGCAAGCTCACACCAAAAGGTGCGTCAAAGTATCCTTGAAACGTGGCCCGGAACTCCACAAGTTCAGCAGCTTTGGGTGTGGGTAAATTGCGGGGTCGTGATTGCGGGTGAAAGTTTTGCAGGTCGTCGTCCTCCCCTTGTCCCTTGGCAATCCATCGCTTCCTCATTAAGTCTTGTATTGCAGGTGCCGACATGAAGTCCAGGTCGACGGTGTCAAATGCGACCTGCAGTGGGCTGGCCTCGCTGATGGACTTCATGACACTCTTGGGGTGCAGCACAGCGTGGATGGTCTCGGCCCGCTTACGGGGAATACTGGTATCAAGGTGCCCTAGCAGCTCCACGGCCACGGTACGCAGTTTAATCGCGAGTTCCCTGTAAGTTCAGCCGTTTGGCCAATCCAATGAGGCCGTATGTGACAAAACCGTTATGCCCTTTACACAAATAGGGAGGAGGTATACTAAACGAATGCGGCTAAACAAAGCTTGTTGCCAACGTACGGCATGATACTGACTTGTTGTCAGAATGCAACCCTCCAGGACTGCAACTTGCATGAATGGATCCCTTCCTGACACCTCACCTCCATTTCTTCGCCTTTCCCCCGTTAGATGTTGCCCCCTGGGCGGTGAGCTCCTGGGCAAATGCCATAGCAACAGCGACCGGGTTGCGGTGGCGGACCAGGTATGACAGAACGAAGTGCTGCACATTGAAGTATCCATCATTATGAAGACCGCTGGTACCCCTCTCACTGTCGTCCTTCTCGAGGATATACCTGGGAAACGGAAGGCAAATGGAGGTCGGGGGCATTTATTCGCCTGCCGCCCGTTTTGCGTCATTCATGCCAACTCAGCATGGCTAGTGTAGGAGTGAAGGAAGCCATTGCGTAGGTTTGTGCACAGGAGCTACAGTATCCCGGCAACAGCAGTGTTGCTGCAGGCAGGGCGCGAGCAAGGATGAAGCCCTTGGTTCGAGCCCTAAGCCACTTATAACCATATCCGACTGCGCCGGCAATTACCTGAAAGCTGTAGCGTCTATCTCCGCACCCTCCACCACCAAGCGCATCAGTGCCTGCCGGGATCCCTTCGCTGCTGCCACCGTGGTCAGAAGTTGCTTCTTGCCATCGACGGTGACCCAGAAGGGTAACTCAATGCAATCAACAAATTCCCTGCACGTTTTCAGATGTTATGTTGACCTACGGTCCAGAAGTTTTCAATACATACTCAAATGAAGTGGGGCACGCATACATGCAGACTACGGAATGAAGAAGTCTACCCGGTAAAGAACTAGAAGAAAAAATAGTATCTTTCCGAAAGGGGGCAGCACCGAGTTTTAGGAAAGCTCGTTGCATGTACCCCACCCATCCTCACCTGTACAGTTCTACAAGAGAAGGTAGCATGTCAACAGCGGGGTAAATGAATATGCTGTCCTGCACGAAATCCAACAAGTGGCCCTCCACCTCCCCAAGCATGACTTCTTCGGAAGGAGACTCCGTGTGTTGGTAGGCTGCCCGGACGGGCCTTTCAGTGCAACGTCCCCCCGTCATACCCTCTGCATTGGGCACACAGCAGGGGTAGCAAGGAAAATGAATTACTCCCCGGAATGCGCCGCCAAATCAAAAAGGGCTGCTGTGAACAATGCAGCAAGGGCAAGGCAAGTGGTACATAGGATGGGTTTAGCTGGACAGCATAACCTACGGGATCACCAGACGATGGGCCTGATTTGGATCACAACTTCCTACGTGTACCGCCCCCATGCATGTTATCTGCATGCATCTCTTGGAGCCGCCCCAGCCTAGCCCGGAATACTCACCAGGGTAGTGCTGGGGCCCCTCGTACTCGAGCGACATGCGCCTAGGGGGCTCCTCCACCTCCTCGCCCTCTCCAAGCTTCCGCCACGCCAGCAGGTACGTGTAGCCGCGACCTTGCCTACCCTGCGGCGCTCCGAGTACATAGCGGACGCCCGGCATGCACTGGTGGTTGCGCTGCCAGATGACGAGGGAGAACTCTGGGCGCCTGAGACTGAATGAATCACGACTGGCTAGAGCGACATCCTCTGGCAAGCACCGAAACTCTCGGGGTAGCCACTTAGGGATCTTTGAGCCGGCCTCCAGCAGCACGTACAGCTGCACCTGCTCGGTGAAGGTCACCTCCAGATACTCGGGGTCGTGTACACTGTAATGATCCTGGAAGGCTGTAAACGAGTACACCTCGTGGCCGTAGAAGGCGCCAAAAGGACGACTCCACTCTAAAAAAAGCGTAGGTGTGCTTTCCCATAGCTGAATCGGAGGGGCATTCCACGAGCACACCCGGGATGCTGGAAAGGCAAACACCCTTTCTGGCTCTACCAAGCCATGACGGGGTATGAGGAGCTCTTGCAGGCCGAATTTGTGGAGGAAAGGCGTTGTCTGAGCTTCACTGCCGGGAGCTGCATGCTCGGTTGAAACCCTATGGTCGCTAATCTGGGTGCGGGACTCAAACCGGGCTTCATCTTGGCAAACTCCAGGGTCGCGTTGTAAAACCCCATGAACACTGTCTATCCGTTGGGATATGCCAGAATGCACGTCAGGCGTAAACGCAGCTTCCCCCACGGTGTTGCCGCCTATTTTGATGTCATGAAGTGTTGCTGGCGCCGGGGCATTCGGCGTCGGACGTCCTTGGGCCATTACGTAGATAGTTCGCGAGACATAACTAAAGGCCGTGTACTGGAAACGATTTCATTAAGAGGTCTAAATTAAACAGCGTTTGTGCTGAAGAGTACCATATGGATATCCGCTGAGAGGTCCATTTTGGTTTGCCTAGTGCTGGTCGAATACAAGCGTAAATTTGTCAATATAAGTTTGCAAAAGTGCTGCAATACAACTCCGCGTCGCGGCGCCGTACCTTACGGTACTTTTGCATTCTTTGCACTTTAGTATAGTATCGTGTTGTTTAGGTGTATTGTCCCTTTAAGATAGTGTTGAGAAACGCCGATTGGTAGTGTTAAGAAACACTGTTTGGTAGGAGTCGTACTACTCCTGAGGGCGCGGCTGTTGGGGGGCGGGGGAGCCGGCGGGCCCAGCGCAGCGTTACACATCCATCCTCTACAACAGGGAAACGATGGTGCTGAGGCTGGTGAGGAGGAGCGCTGCCCCTTAGGCTGGACAGGCGAAGCAATACCAACATAATGGCTCCCCGCGCGTGTGGCCATCGCCTTGTTGAACAAACGCCGCCCATGCAGGCAGGCATCCCTGCCCTGCTAGCTACTGACACCCACATGCGCATGCAAGCCCGCCCCTCTCGGCTATCGGTGGTGCCAGTCGTCCTGCCAGGAACAGGCACCCATGCGTGCAAGCATCACCCTTATCCCATCCATTTCCGTCGCACCCACCCGCGCATCAACGCCGATGCCTGAATCCATAATCACCCGTCCAAACTGGCACCGATAGATGTATGCATACCCACCATGCCCGATTACAAGCTGCCATGCGGGTACGCAGACCCATTGTGCCCGTTTACCGCGGTGATGTACGCATGCATCCCTGCCCTGCCCAGGTCCCAAAACCAATGCGTTCGTGCAGAAATCCCCGCCCTACTCAGTTACACTCGGCCATGCGACCAGCGGCCCCGCCCTGGCACATATGCGTACACAAGCGCGGGCCGCGCAGGTAAGGACAGTCGCATGGGGAGGGCATGGGGAGACCAGGTAGGTACAGCGCGGGGACGGGCATCCTGCACTGGGAAGAGTTTACGCCGCGAGACAGGCACTGCGCGCATCCCTTATCACCTTCCGACGATCCAGGCACGCATTGCACGGGGAAGGGCAAGGGCAGGCAGACGCCTCACGCGGAAACACGTGGGTAGGCAAGCGCCGCGCGGGGAAGAGCCACTTTACGGCCATTGTAGCGGCCACTTACTTTTAGTAATCTCGCAGCGCGGGCACGAGGTATCAGAAACGGGCAATGCCTATGTGAGGCAGTGGTTACGTTACAGCTCGCATGCATGAAGGCGTCGGCAAACCTGACATGCGGTTGAGTCGCAAGCAGTATACAAAGGATGACCATCATAAAACAGAGCTTCTTTGGTGTTACATGCAGGCTTTCTAGCAGCGGAAACGAGAATGCTCTTCAGTTATGTAGCTCATTGCTCGCACCTCCACGGACAGCCAGGACGAACTTTGGTCTATGCATAGAATTGCCAAATGAATAGAAAGAAGCAATAACAAAGCAGCTTGGCCCATGTGGTACACGTGCGTAGGAAAATGCCCGTACTGGACAAGCCTTTTTGACGGCATCAACTTTGTTCCAAAGTGCAATAATGGCAAAGCGCAGCAAAGTCCTCCGATATCTTGTCGTGCTCCAGGTGGAGTCATGTAATAGGTTAGTTACCGGGAGGTAAGGGAGAGCGCTGTAACACAGAGCCCCCACCGAACACGTATGGAAGTTAACAGAAGTGGCGCCACCCCCAGCATTCCCCGTTGGTTTTGCCGAGGCAATGCAAGGACCAGATAACATCACGCTGAAGCCTAGGCCTAGGCAGGCTGTCGATACAAACCCGTCAGCTTCGCAGACACGAGGGCTCGCCCCCCCAAAAAAACTCGAGCCCAATGGCGGCGACTTCCTGCCTTTGCTATAAAAACAATGGCAATTTGCAACATCTCTCTGGCTTGCAATGGCTTGGTCCAAATGCTTAGCAGTGCACGTAGTGGCCGCCGTGTGTGTATGAGAGCGGACGGCAACCATTTCTGTCGGAGTGCCAGGTGATATTGAGGACATATCATGTACCTGGCAGCAGCATCAGGTCATCATCACTTCATCAGGTCATCTGGCGTGTGTGCGCGCGCGCGGCCGCCTGGTCCGGCAAGTTCGGTTGCGCCCCCTCTGCACGGTACGGCAGCCCGGTCCGGGCGCCTTGTATACTGTGGCTAAGCAGCAGCAACCCCAACACAGAGCTGACGGTTGAGCGGTTGGGCTTGCTTTGTAACGCTGTTTGCCGCTGCAAGGATAGCGCGGGATTGCCGCCCACAGGCGCTTCTGATGCTCAGGTCGGTCCAGATGCTCAACGCCCACAACAGCATGCAGGCACACCACCGGGGTTTGGCAAAGGCTGCAAAAGGGACTGCTCAAAGAGTCTTTCCCTTTACTTTATTTCGTATACTTTTGCACCTCCGCCTCCATCACAGCGTCAACCATGCGTCCCGCAAAGTCGCAGTGCTCCTAAAGATGGATAGGGTGTATTGAAGGGCCCGGAAGCCCGCCTGTAGCCGCTCCACCCCGGTAGCAAGCTCATTTTTCACGGATGGCATTCCACCCAGTGTTTCTATCTTCCCTCCAGGGCGATCGTGGAACCCCACGATAAGTGACGTTTTAGGCCCATTTTTTTCGACAGCCCTCACGTTCGACCCCTGAAATTTTTCGTATACGATCCGGGGCCTCCCAAGGGCCTATTTTTTCGAAAACCGTTTTCGAAAAGGGGCTGCTAGGTTTTCGTGCCTTGACCAGCGGTAGTACAGCAGCCTAATGGAAGGGCCCAATTCACGACGTGCCCGTACCCTAAAGTGTAGCGCAGCGCTTCTGCTAGCCTTAACCCTTTTGCTCTCTTGGGGGAAGGGTCTCCCCCCCGACCTACTCACGCGCCCACGGTGGTTACTTGTGCGGTGGTAGTGTGCCTCCAGCCACTAGAAGTGGAAAGACCTTCCCCCTCATCACCCCACTTACCTTGGCCGTGACGGATCCCGGCTGCTGCTAGCTAACCCCAACGGTAATTGCAACCCGCACCACCACGGCTATCATGCTAAGGTCCGCCACCGCTTTTCCTTACAAGGCAGCCTGGCAGCAGGGGCGACAGCCGATTGTTGTAAGCATTGCATGCTTTTACACTTGGCGCGGCGTCGATTAAGACACGCGTTCTGGGCGTCGTTGTAACGCTCACAGCATTCAGCGCTTGCCCACCTGAAAGACGCATACATCCACATTTCAGCCCAGCCTTTATACGGAGCTTCTTAAACATTGCTTGTTTGCTTCGGAATTCCAAGTCGCAAGCAAATCGCTTAACATAAATGTTCCCGCCAAACCACAAGTAAGGCGAGTCTGTGCTCGCAGTTGCAAAATAATGTTGTAATGAACAAGCTTATTACATAAGGTTGAACACAAAAGCTAATAGGCATTGCCGTCGTGTAAGTCATGGTCGCAGTTCTTGCATGTACGACGCCCTTGGTAACTATGCCAGCCAAGACTAGTAGAGGTATTCCCCCAAGAACCAGGTTGGTCTTGGCCTCTGCGGTGCTCGACAACGAAGCAAGGGAAGCCATATCAATGCAGCCCTTTGCACCACTGCACTGTCTGCGCCTTAGAAGACCCCTGGGACCATTCTGCTCCCAGGGGTCCTCCAGCATGCAGGACTGCCATGTACGCGTGTTGACACGTGTCCCCCTACCTCTTCATCACTTCACAGCTTTGGTTTGGAAGGAACAATAAGCAAAGGTGTAGGCAGCAGTGTACGTGCATTGGCCATGTGTGGCGTGGAAGTTCCATGTAGCCAACCAGCTTGCATAATCAGCTTGCATGGGAGGTCAGGGGTCCAGCAAGTTAGTATCGAGTTGCCTTGCTTGTTTTCCCGTAGTTGGGTGTTATGCAATGTTCCCGATACTTGTACGGTGTATGTGCCCAAACCCTGCCATGCACAAGCTACTCCTCCTAACATTTAGGCTCCTGTTTTCCTGTTATGCCGCTCTATGTCGTTCTAGCCATAACCCGACAACAAAAGACTGAGGTCGAGCCCACAAAACCAGGTAACTGTGCCATTGGAGCCTGGGGAAAAAGTGAATTGGGCAGGCTCGGTGCGTGCCTACGGCTCCGGGTTTGGGACCACGAGGCAAAAATGTGAGCGTCGATCCCACGATCTTAAGCACGTTTGACAATATTTCACAAGCTGGGCCTTCGGCCCGAAGGGCGCTGACACCCTGTGGTGGGGGGGGTAGGGTAGGGGGTAGGGGGTGTGTGTGTGGGGGGGGGGGGTGCAGGGGCCAGGGGGTAGGGGGGGGCCAGGGCTAGGGGGTAGGGGGGGGCCAAGGGCTAGGGGGTAAAAAATATATATATGATGATGATATACTGGACGCTCCACGCCATGCAAGCCTGGCGTGCGTGTCTGCCAAATGACCTCGCTCGCTCCTCAACTAGGTTGACGCGTTGCGTCCATGCGTCATACAGGCTGCAGTACAACATCCCTGCACCTGCCCCCTACACTACTTACAGCTGCATTACTGCACCCTCCTATTTACTTTCCGGCGGGCGGGGCAACACCACAACGGCAGCACCGCTGCCTTCCATAACACCTTCCCACCGGGCACCGCTGAGTCCGCCCTGCCCCCTAGCCCCAAACCGCGCTACTCCCTTCCCCCTACCCCCTACCCTGCTAGGGGGTAGGGGGGGGCCAGGGGGTAGGGGGTAAGGCGGGGGTAGGGGGTAGGGGGAAGGGAGTAGCGCGGTTTGGGGCTAGGGGGCAGGGCGGACTCAGCGGTGCCCGGTGGGAAGGTGTTATGGAAGGCAGCGGTGCTGCCGTTGTGGTGTTGCCCCGCCCGCCGGAAAGTAAATAGGAGGGTGCAGTAATGCAGCTGTAAGTAGTGTAGGGGGCAGGTGCAGGGATGTTGTACTGCAGCCTGTATGACGCATGGACGCAACGCGTCAACCTAGTTGAGGAGCGAGCGAGGTCATTTGGCAGACACGCACGCCAGGCTTGCATGGCGTGGAGCGTCCAGTCGGTGTTGTACAATCCGTGGAGGCAGTAAAGGCCGCCGAGGGGGAAGGGAGGATTGAGGGTGTTGCGGGTAGGGCCATTCGCCGCCGCCCCCTGGCACATCAGCGCTCCGAGGCAGTGGCGCGCCTGCCGTGGCTCCGTGGGCTCGAACAGGTCGCTGTCGTACCACGGGTGCATGCAGCAGGCGGCCGCGAGGCGCCTCCGGCCCAGGGC